CATTACTACATCTGAGCAGCGGCAGACACAGAGGGGTGTAATGTAATAGACTTTGCCCTGTAGACCATAAATATTACTGCTGCTGGTCTTTATCAATCTTCTAAACATTCTCTATTTAGACGTTGAGTTTGTTTGGGGTTGTTAAAAAGTTATGGATGCATGATCATTTTGGTAAGTTCAATGTTAATGTCCATCTTACTCAGATCTGACACAAGTATTGTTCTTCCTGTTTTAAAAGATTTTCTAGATGTGCCATTTCAGACAACCGTTGCTCATGTAACATCCTGATTTTCATATTACATATATTTCCTCTGGAGGAGCAGCATTCATGGAACAGGACATAATTTCTCACTTTTGTAGCATCATCTCAACACATTATTTTCTACTTTAGTCAAGGACAAAAAAGCCCCCCAAAAAATCAACGTATTGACATAGTCATTCACCTAATCATGACACCATTAAATGTACTACTATTCCCTGTGATAATTATTGGATTACACATCCAGCAACAGATTCTAAAGGATACAGATTTGTATTTTTTAGAACTAGATGGTGTAATACAAAAGAAGAGGAGCTACTACGATCAGACTGATCTGTTTCTTTACCTACCCCCATTACCACTATCACCAGCTGGCCATTGCAGCTTTGGTTTTCTAGGAGCGGTGACTTTAAAACAGTGGGTGAAGAAAGTTGCTGCTGGAATGTACAGCATGTTAAAAACACAAAGTTTTTCCTCATATCTAGCTATATGAACCTAAATATGTTGAACGCATTAAATGAATAATGGATCTGTAAAATGAAAGCAGAGTTGTTAAACAAAGAGCCGGGACTATTTCCTTTACTCAAGTAACACTTAGATTATGAAAAACTGCATGGCATGTGGACGGGGACAAAAATAAATTGAGTGGGAGATGATTTTACCATAAGTCAGCATAGATGAACAGTCAGTAGCTTACATCAACGCAAATGCATCATGACTCGGTCTAGATGTCCTGGTGGGTTTGAATTACCTAGCAATATCCACACTCCTTAAAGAAGAAAAGTTTAAATAAATAAATTAAGGCAAGAAAAAGACTCTCAAAATAATTTTTAACTAACATATAAGAGAGGAAAGTGAACAAAATGCTCAAACTTGATAAGGTCTAAGACCTCGCTCCTGGTTAGCTGTGCCAAACAACTGCCTCAACACAGTAAAACATAATGTCATTGCAGTACTTATATTGATGAACAAACGAGTCAAAAATACAAATGGGCTTAATGGGAAAGCACTGGAGGCAG